TAATTTTCGCCTGATCAAACTCCTTATAGCAATAGCCTGATGAAGAAACCTTTCCTCAAACTTGATCATATGCGTCTCAATTAAAGCATTTTATCTAAATTAAACAATTTAAAAGTGATAAAAGTTAAAGCACCTTATCTAAATTCAATAAATTATAAATTCTCATATACAGGATGTCTCGTCATTATTTTTAATTCGATTGATATGACATTGTTCTATTCCTAAAATCGGTAGTTTTCAAATTATTTACATTTTTCTTAATTAAAGTAATTTTTAATAGAAATAAAATAACAGGCGGTCGCTTTAGTGTGGTGTCACACTATGCGTTTTTACCGCTCCTGCTAAAATGGATGCTGTTTGACAGCATATGATGCGGTTGCGGGAGCGGTAAAAACGCATAGTGTGACGCCACACTTAGGCTTAGAAAGATTCTGTTTCGTATTTTCAAATTTGCCAGTATAGGAAATTTTATACGTGTACCGCTTGATAGTGAACAGAACTAAAATGCAATAGAATGGAGCGCTTTTAGATAAAAAGCGAGTGTGCAAGCAAAACACCACACTGTTGCTGAAATCGTTCTTACGGTCCATGAGGAACGAACTTTCTGTTATACCCTTACATGTATAAAAGGTCACCGTAGCTTGGTTTCCGTTTCGTTTTTTTTACTCGGCGAATACATTAAAAAATTATGTGGGAGGGAGAAATTTTTCGATGAACCTTCAAGGCGAACCTATGGAAGTCGAGCGCGGCTTGATACCGCGTAACGTGTATTTTCGACTGAAAGTTTAGATGTTTGTATTACGAAAGTTAATTGCCGAGTTACAAGGGAAAACTGTGCCGCCAATTCCACTAAATTATTGTCGTGTGTCCTTTTAAATTTTTTTTGAGTTGCCATTACGAGTAAAACTTTAAAGTCGCGAGGGAACTTCGTTGTGTGACGGACTCGATCAGTTGACTTATTTATTTTCGACCGTGAATAAAATGACGTAAGTGGTCAAAAGTACAGAAGTTTTCATTGCGCTTATAGTTAGGATAAGAAACATGTTTATTAACAAAATTTGTGCGCCGTTCTTGTTTATACGAGGCGGTAATAAAATCCTGGATTAAACGGCAACCGGCAAAAAAGTAGTGGTAGGGCAAAGAGTGTACAAAAGAGAAAAATAGATGAATTAGAGAAAGAAACAAGAGGAGGAATTCAGGAAACAGACGTGATAGAATCGACAAAAGTACAAAAGAAAATGTAAAGAAAAATAGATCGAGAATCAGATACATTTATTTTATACAAATATACTGTTAGCGAATTTTTGGAAAGAAATACGCTATTATATTCGTTATGGTTGGCTGGCTGGCTGTCCGGCTGAGATCTCAGCAATTATAATAGCTAGAGACTTCAAATTTTCACTAAAAGCTTTCTGATGTAGTGTATATGTGCAGGCTCTAGTCTATTTTGAGTTAGATTACTTGTGAGATCGATAATTTAAGAAAATAATTAATAAAAATGTAGGGGTTTTGTGTAACTCTAACGTTTAGCTTTAGAGATGAAGGTATTAGTGAATGAGAATGTGTTATAGTAGCTAAAGGTTACTAATTTGACCCCAAAATTGTTATGTCTGAGCGTTTTTTGAAAATTTATTTTTAATAATTCATACATACCGCCTTTTCATTTTTTTCATGGGTCTTTCTGTGTACATATTTTGCAAATTGAACTTTCCATGATATGTGATGTGACATGAGTCACTATAGTCAGATGGAGATTAGCGTAACTGGGCAATTTTACAGCTTTTTGTGTGCTGAGTCAAATTTCGTTTGGGAAAATTTAAATTTCGGGTCCGATACAATCTCAGAAATGACGTCAAAATGCCAATGTTTCTTCAATAGGAATTTGTCTTGGTTGCCTTGGTTGTTTCAGTGGTTAATTTACTCTGCTCATCGAAAAATAGTTTATAGAATGTTGTTTTTTTCGGGAGAAATTTTCCACTAAGCAAACTACACCATATAGTTTTATGTAATTCCCATCACTATCGCTCGATGAGAGCAGTGTTTGTTTATTTAGGCTTGCAATTCTCCACTTAAGGAATTTTTAAACTTCCTGGTCGTTTGAATGCCAAAATCCGAATCTCTCGCAAAAACTAACCCCTTCTACTTTGAATTAATTAGTTCCCACCTATACAATGGCGTATCGTTAAACCATGTCTAATTGTGTATTGGTTAATGTCTTTTGCTACTACCAATCCCGAATGATTTTAAAGTCGATCAATCTTACGCAACCCAAATCTGCAGGCTACAGTCCCGAAACTGGTTATGGTTTTTGTCGTCGAATAAATCCGAAAGTTTTTTTTGTCTCTTTTATCTAAAAATTTAAGCGTAAAGGTAAAGGTGTGTGGAAAATTAAAAATTTTTTAGGAACTTTATGGACTAGCTCTGTTTATTTGTGCTCGTATGTAAAGACGCGGTTATACAGGTTGTATCCAATTTCGTGTTAAGTACATAGACCTCGTTTATTAGCATAGATAGAGAGTTGGTTAAATGGACAAAAATGTGGATCCGTTAACTTGGCCCCCCCACTGAGAGATTTGATAGTCGTATTATTTTGAAATGAATGCGCTCGTTATGCGCTCATATGCGCCACCGATAATAACTCTTGCGCCATTATCGTTTTTTAGAAAAATCGAAAAAACATTTGGGGGGGGCAAGTGAACGTAGCCCCCCCCCTCCCCAGTACGTATTTTGTTCCTTGTAACTAGGTCACCTGATACATTTGGTTATGCGCTCAATTGCGCCACTTGAATTAAAGCTAGCGCCATTACGGTTAAGCCATAAAAAATTTTTAAAAAGTAGAGGGTCTAACTTAGCGTTTTCAAAAGTTATTTCCGGAAGTGCGTCCATTTTGAACATATTTTACATCGATTCGGCCTTCGGGAGTAACTCCTAAATACAAATGTTTAAAAACCTACCTATTTTACTTTCCTAGAATCGTTTAACTAAAGCTCCCAAAAAACACCCTGTATAGTGTTTCTGAAACACTATAATGGCGCCAAGATTTTTGTTTACGGCGCATTTTAGCGCACGATGAAAGGTACGATGTAGTAGAAAAAACATGTTAAAAAACGTAACTTTTGAAAACGTTAAGTTAGCCCCCCCCCACTTTTTAAAAATTTTTTATGGCTTAACCGTAATGGCGCTAGCTTTAATTCAAGTGGCGCAATTGAGCGCATAACCAGATGTATCGAGTGGCACAAATACCGGTAGCAAAATGCGTTATGGGGGATTCCGTTCACTTGGCCCCTCCCAAATATATTTAAGGATAACCAAAAAACAAGAATGGCGCAAAGATATCTTTTTACGGCGCATTTCAGCGCATACCTGAGAGTACAATTTCGTATGAAAAGATGTTAAAAAAAAGTAACTTTTAAAAACGTTAAGTTGGCCCCCCCCACTTTTTGAAAATTTGTCACGGCTTAACCGTAATGGCGCTAGCTTTAATTCAAGTGGCGCAATTGAGCGCATAACCAAATGTATCAGGTGACCTAGTTACAAGGGACAAAATACGTACTGGGGGGGGCTACGTTCACTTGGCCCCCCCAAATGTTTTTTCGGATTTCTAAAAAACGATAATGGCGCAAGAGTTATTATCGGTGGCGCATATGAGCGCATTCATTTCAAAATAATACGACTATCAAATCTCTCAGTGGGGGGGCCAAGTTAACGGACCCCAAAAATGTTATCCCTAAATAAGGTGTTTATGGATGGCGATGATGCTCCTTTGATAGCCAAATTAAATCACAATTTGTACGCGTTTCTCAATGAACGTTTTACGTTTATAATAACACTTGATGGGCACCCTCTCAGTGCACATTGACAAATTTGTATTTAATTTTGGCTAGTAAACAATTACGTATGTAAAACCTTTGTACGTCACTCATTGCTCGGGAACTCGATTTCGGAACGTCCCAGAATTAAAAAAAAAAAAGGTAGATTTGGCAATGTGCCGTACATATCTGCCTGTTTATCCGGTAATTGTATTGTAAAATGACATTTCGCTTTTCCGTTGAATTGGAGCGATATTTGGCGAGGTTTTCCGTATTTAAAAATAGGGAAATAATTAATGAAAAACAGTCGGATTGCGTCAGCTCGAAAAAAAAATTTATACGTTTATTTGGTCTATCTAAACGCGTTTTGGCGTGGGTGGTTGAGTGATTTAAAGATGGGCGTTTAGTTTATTCTCCCCTGTTTTATTAATTACAAACTGCGTATTTAATGTGAATTTATGCGTTGTTGACACCAATCTATTTTTACGTATTAATTAAAAATCATTGGCGGATTTTATGATTTTCGACATTGTCGTTTACGTAAAGTTGGGCGCCAACACGGTCAGTAATGTTTTTTTTGAAAACCTATTTGTATGACTGTCAAATCGGTATTTATTCCCTGTAATTTAGGGCAATCTTAGCCATGGATGTTGTCTTGTAAAAGTGCCGCAATTTATTTTACGGAGGCAACGTCTTGTTAACATGGTTACCTACGCCTACATTTTAGAAAATATATGCTACGTCAGAATGTAAACAAACAATTCCCAGCCCATCGCACAAAAAGACTTTGGGTCACTTTTTTTGTTCAAAAAATCACTTTCTTCTTTGTGTTTTTATGTACGTAAAAGAGACAGGTATAAAAATATCGCAACAGGTATTTAATATTCAATGTCATAACAACGGCACAAAGACGCCCGCGTGACTACGTACAATTAACGGTTTTTTTTCTTCACCTGCAGATTACGTTATGGAAATTGTAAAAATAAATTGTTTGTTGATCTTTTTTCTTCGCCCCACGCGTGATTTGTATCACACACTTTTAATTATTATTTCAATAATAAATTAACGCGAAGAAAATCCGGTTGAGGTGCCCGCCCATTTCTCCTACGCGATGATCTTTGTTCGGGGAGAGCTGAAGAATAATTTTTCAATGAAACGTCATTTTTTTAATTAAGAAATGTTTCTTTTCAGAATCCAGTCATCAGAGTGATTCTGGCTCCGGGTATTGGCAGCTCGAGTTGGATCGTGATTTAGTTGATACCATCGCTGCTATCTACCCGGAGTGGTTCAAAAACAACACTATGGCCGAGGGTGGGTCGGGGGCCACTTCCAGGGATTCACCTCCAAAAGCGATCGTCGACACGACCCCGCTTCTTAATACTCTCGAGCAAAATAAAGAATGTAAGTATAGAGGGAAAATGTGAGGATCTGTGTGTTGACCCCGTCTAGGTCAGTATCGGATATCGTATGTACGTTCTTCCGGGGACGTGTATCGCTTATTTGCACGCAGCATTATATTGTGTCATGGTAACATTTCGTTTGTTTATTACAGCCCTGAAGGTGAAGTTGATGCTCAGGCGACCGTTCGATCAGCTGGTGGCCCAAGGGATTATGCCTCGTAAGTTCCAAATTTATCGAAATCCTCTTTTGTGATTATAATTTTTGTAGCTCATAAAACACCGGCAGCGTACCATGGTCAACGTCGACAGTTGGAACGTGCCAAAACTGGCGATATTTTAAAAGCGAAAATTCAACAACGGCCATCTCGCCAAGAACTCGAAAGGCGACATATACTGGACGAAGACCCCGGGCATGTGGATCCTAGCTTAGCGGAACGCCAGCGGATGCTGAAGAAGGCCAGACTAGCCGATCAACTAAACGATCAGCTGTCTCACAGACCCGGGCCTTTGGAGCTTATCCAGAAGAATATCTTGCATACTGAAGAGCCTATAGAAAGTGCAGTTAAATCGGGACGCATTCCATACAAAGCAACCTGCGAAGGACAGCTTAACCGACCACAACATCCTCACAGCTACGTCTGCTTGGAGGATGATTCCCAAAGTTCTGAGGGAGACGCTTTGGTAAGTCCGGGACCATCAGATGTCATCGAAACTGCAGCGAAATCCGCTGGAATCGTTGTGTCACTTATTCCTGCTAGTGAAAGTGCCGTAGTTGTTACGACAGCCACTCCCGTGTTTAGCAAAGACAATAGTGAGATAGTCTTCGCGGACTTAACCAGATCAGTGGGTGCTCCAATTCTTTCGCTCGGTTCGGCGTCTAGTCCCGCTTCTCTTGTGTCTTCCACCTCAACTCTTAGCCCGCTCTCCTCCATTGCCAGCCCAATACCACAACCTCCAACACCTGCCCCACCCCCAATGCCAGTTTGCCTTACCCCCCGCCCTATACCATCACCGACAAAGACGGACGCTCCGGGCAAAGATAAGAATAGGAAAAAATCCAAGTCCAAGTCGGCTCCAAAAGCTCGCACGATAAAATTCCACGAATATAAGGGTCCACCAAGCGCTCAAAAAAATTCCTCGGCCAACAGTAACGCCCCAGGAGAATCCTCCTACGATTTATTGCTGCAGCAACAAACTTTACTTTTACAATTCCAACTTCAACTACAACACAAATACCCGCAAATCATACTACCTGCCTCGCAAAAGAACACTAACGATTCGTCACCCCCACCCGTTAATCCCCAACCCCCCAATACCGTCGCAATTCCTTCCGAATCGCCAGTGCAATCCAAACTCGTCGGTAGATTAGAAGACATGAAAGTGAGTGACTTAAAAGCAGAACTAAAACGTCGTAGTTTACCCGTTTCCGGTTCGAAACCCCAACTTATAGAAAGACTAAAACCTTTTACCGGCGCGAGTGAAAGTGTAAGTCAGACCAGTAATTCTAGTTTAGATAGTGTTCCACCGAATACCAACAACGAATTTTTCCCAAAAGAAGAGGCCGGCTCTCCTAGTTCGTGTTTAGATGAATCGCTCCAAGACAGAATGGACGTGATGGAACCGGTGAGTCCGATGTCGCCTCAGTCTATGCTCTGCAACAAAGATGATCTCGTTCGCGAACAGCAGAGGCAAATTGAAGAGCTGCAGCGAGAGCTTACCATTTCGCAATTGAAACTGCAGGCGGCTACTCGAGCCGAGCCGAAAGCCCAACTGCTCGCCTTGCAAAAACATCTGCAAGCGCGCCAGCAAAATCAGCAACTCGCGGTGCACATGCAGCAGCTTCAAGCGTTACACGCGCAGCAAGCGCAGGAGCAGCAGCGAATACAGCAGCAACAGCACGTCGCGTTCCAAAATCAGAAAAACCTAACCGGCGGTTTACTCCTGAACGGAAACGACGCGGCGACCGTACTTAATCACTTAGTTCAAGGAAAAGCTAAATTAGTGAACGGACACAGTCGTGCCAATTCTTTGCCTAATTTTATAAATACAATCGTAACCCCGATCATTAACCAACCAGAAATGAAAATGGATTGCGCTAGTGATAACCCGAAACCCCCTCCGCCGCAATACGAGGAGGCAACCAAACAAATTAAGAAGGAGAAAAATTACGTTAAAAGCCAAATCGTCGACGACGTTTTAGAGATACTAATCAAAAATGGGGAGCTGCCGCCGAGCGCCGCTCAAGATCCCTCGACTCCGGGATCGGCGGGAACGAAGGCGGCCGAACCCGTTTTTCCTAGCAATGTTCAGCCTGTCGAATCGAATCTGCCAATCGACCCCAGCAGTCCAGAGGCGGCTTTAGGCTTGGATGCTTCTGATCTGTTGGACACACTGGATACATTGGAGAGTATGGATTTTAGCCAGCTAGTAATGGAGCTCGGTGGGAATCAGCATGGGAACGACAACTGTAATCAGAGCAACGATGTTGACGCAATGTCGGTGCCTATGGACACAGATGACTGGTTAGAGTCGTTATTACCCCACGAAAATCAGAACGGCAACACTGTCAGTAGTATTCCTTCTCACGAACCCGATCTCGGGTACGATCCACTGCTGACGACGGTGCAAGATCCCTTCGATCCATTTTCACTAGAGGAATTTCGTTCATCCAACGATCTGACCGCTGCTCTGTCCTGGGACAAAGTAGACTTTGCCGCGTAGCAAAGTGCGCACGTCGTATATTCCAGTGATGTGAAATTCCACTTGGTAACGCATAGACATTCCACGTGTGGCCGCCAAGATCGCTTTCGGGCGCGGGACCAGGGCGGCCCTTTAGGCCAGGGAACACATCAACCTTGTAAATAGCGTAGAATAGCTTGTACAGATTGTTTTGTGACAAAGTCGCCTTTAATTGTTAAGTTATTGAAATGTTGGACATATATTTTGTTGAGTCTTTATATTAAGCGACATTTTTCCGATGTCGCAGTGAGGAATGTGACGATACGCTGGTAGGATTATTTATATTTATGAAATGTATAATCGAAATGCCTTAAAAGAATACCTACATTATGTAAATGGCTCGTGTTTGCATATTCAACCAATACTGTTTGTTATACATTATTTTACTAATTGCTCTGTTTACTTTTAAACAGTATGTGGATGAATAAAGCTTCAGATATACAATTATCGGTTTGTTTATTTCTGAAAACAAGCTTGCATCACAAGTAAGGGTTAGTACGGATTACAGAAAAGGTAGGTGCACCCAATGAAACTTGCCAAAACGGTCCAAGCAAAACCTCCAATCTTTCAACACTGCTAAAAAATATTTTTCACCCCTCCGAAATGCAGTCCTACCCTTTCCTCGAGAAGGAAAATGAGAAATATCTCGCTGTGCGTGTGTGGCAAAACACCAAGAGCCCACTTTGGTTGCAAAATTTTCAATTGTTCCACTACTTCAAGAACAGTGCCTTATCACAAAATGCTCTTTTCATTGAATTTTTCTCAGGTAAGTGTGCAGTCTACTTTGAAGGTACAATTTGTTAGAACTTCTTATAATTTTCTCACTGTTAAATCGCCCATCCATCCACTAGTTTTGAAAGTACCCCTATTCTCGGTAATGCACGTTGACGCTAAAGCAGGAAGGGCATAAAGGTTTACTTCTTCATGTCACGACTATTTACCATTTCCCCAAAACGAATTTCTACAAAAATCATTTATTTTAGTTGGTGCAGTTTTCAAAACCGGAAACATTGACATGAATTCCTGAGCACCCTGTATAATTTTTTTGAACAAATTTTTCGGTCGGCTAAGTGGTCTAGAGGTCCAGATCTAAAGGTACCTTTACACTATCATACTTCTCATGTGGTTTGTCATATGATAAGTAACAAGCATTTAGATTTGTGTTTACACTATACTATTTTTGGTATTATGGCTGTCATAAGACAAATCATAAGGAAATAATACGTAAATCGTGGAATAGAGATGTTTCTATTTCTGCATGACAAATGACATGACTTATTTTAAATATCCAAGTGATCCCGCCCTTTTATGGTTACTTTTCGCATTTTGCTGTTGTACTTATCTGAAAAAGCTGAATACTTGAGTAAACCAGTAAACTTTTGATTATATCATTGATTATAGGTGTGTATAATCAATGATTATAGGTATATTAGTTACTAATGAAAGAATAAATTACATAAACAATAAATCGAGCAATAAATATTTACGAGTATATTGGTATTTGGTTGTCTGGTTGTAGTGGTGTTTTCAGACACACATCGTCAAATAGTGTCTTGATTGGTAATTAACCCTTCAAATGTTTGGGGTAATCTTTCAAATAAGGGTACACTCATCCTTAATGTCGACCAAGGGGACGACTCTGTTTGCTTTGTTAATGAAACGCATAACGGAGAAATTATTTTTAAAATAATTGTTAAACTTTTTTCGTTAAAAATGTACTATGATTTTTGAGGCACTTTAGAAGTTCACCTATTTGTGCTTTACAGGTGATTTTTTTTGAGTTCTAAGTTAGCCTGAAGGTACTTTTTTGGTGAATACTTATTGTGATAATTAGCGATTTATTTTAATACAGAAGTTAACCGCACAAAATGCTTATTTGCCAATTTATTTAAAATTTTGCGGGATCCCGCAAATACCGGGTTCCCGCGGGATTAACATCTAACGATCCCGCAAATACCGGGATTGAGATTTTGCTGCGGGATTGCATTCCCTAGCTGTAACTTTTGAACTAGTAGCCCAATCTTGGAAGTGTTGGAAATTATGGATTCTACAGGCCACATTCTATAAGACAATTTTTTTTCCGGGTCGATCTAAGACAATTTTTTTTCGGGGCAAAAAAAAGGCAGTGTATAACCTTCCTTTTTTCCAAAAATCGACTGCACCAAAATTTCTCGGTAAAACACTTTTTCTTACTAATTTTGGTGAATAGAATCCAAAACAAGTCGTACTTTTTCGATCAGACTGCTCAATCACAAGTTATAGACTAGAAACCAATTTCGAAAGAAAATTCAAAGGGCTGTAACTTTTGAACTAGTAGCCCAATCTTGGAACTTGGAACATTTTAATTTAGAGAAGTTATATAGGTTGTTATTTTCAAACTAGTTAAGCATTTTTTAACTCTAAATTCTGATTTGCACACATCGAGAAGGTATCATTACAACAATGGAGTCGGTAATAAATACTTTAATTGCGGTTTTTTATATGTTTTCAGGGGATTGGCGTCTGAAGTATATGTATATCACAGTTAGCGCGAAAGGCTGCATGAAGCTAAATACGTTTCGTATAAATACTACATGGGTTTAATTTTGAAAATGGTGAACGAAGAAATGCGAAAATTTGAATATAAATTCAAAGGTCTTACTGAGGACATTTTTGTTTCGTTGAAATCAAAATGGTTGATTTTGAGAAATAAACAGGATTATCTCAGAAACATGTGGCATAGTTAGTCAACAGATGTTTTTATTCGAAAAGATTTGCGTTTTCGGATATTTAATAGAAATAATGACGTCGGGGAGAAACCACTTGTCTAATCTACACCTGTTATCGCGTCGATGCAGGTACAATATCATGCGATGCCAGTTCGGCAGTTACAAAGAAATAATGAAGTGCAGTGCGTCGTCCCGCTTTTGTTTAATGGTTTTTCCTGTGCAAAATCGAATGAAAAAGACTAAAAGGTAATTTTCATTATTTTTTTAATACCTTTAATGCGTATCCCTACGAACTAACCACGTTAAAGAAATCGAAATGTAACAAAAAAACAGAATTCAAAAATTCTTTTACAAGATCTCTAGAAATTGCATTTTGATTTCAATGACATGGCGTATACGTATTTATTGATCAGTAGATTAAACTAAATACATTCTGATTTCATAATCAATGCCAAATATTCGAAAGTGTTTTGATTCTGTATTGTGACCACATGTGCTAGCCATGAATCATAACACCTGCGCGTAATTATATTGCGAATGAATGTAAGTATAAAAATTGATTTAATTGGAAAAGAATTGTCTTTTTTCGCGATAAATAAATAAATAAATGATCGACAAGTGTCCTATGTATATATATATATATATGATGTTTCAAAAATGATTGATTGAAAATCTCCGTACAAACTTCGTATGTCTTGTGTACTAAAAAACTCTTTCTCTCAATATTGAAACCGACTAGGTATAATTTATTTGCTAGTGGACATTGATTAAAGTGGTAAAATGAAAATAAATTATGTATACGTATGTGGTAGGTTTTGCATTTGACCGATTAGTTTTTTGCATCATTCTTGCCTTGGAATTACAAAATTGACTATGAGCACCTCCATTTATTGGACTCAATCCCAAGTAGGTAATCGAAATTTTACAAAAAATAAAGTTTTCTTGGTTACAATGATTAATTTTTGACTGCTGTGCCGGGCTTGTTTGCATTTACAATTTCATGGCAACGTTGGTTTTCCGATTTTCCAGCCACGAAATTTTAGGTTGGCGCTTATAACTCGGAAACGGAGCATCTCACATAAAAGTTTATTCTAATTAAAGTTAAAGAGCATCAAATTTCGCGTTTAGATGATCTGTTAAAAGTTAAAATCGGGTCAGCGATTTAGCCACAATCGATCGTCAAAGATCAGCAATGCAATTTGGCATGTTTTCTTCCCACCGAAGCCGGCACTCGCCACACCTCACTTCAGGTTTAGATCTGGAGGTAGAATCAGCTGAATCCACTGAAATGGAAAATGAAAATCTGCACAAGAGTAGTGCAAAATTGTTTCATTTTTAAAATTTTAAATTTAGTTCCATAAAATTAATATAAAACGTGTATCATTTGGAGCGATGATACATTTTCTGTCAAACAAGGTAGGTGTACCCTAAAACAGTTTGTACATCACTCTAAAAGGTATTGTCAAAATAAACTGTATATATGAGGAACTATGTAAATATTTTCAGTTTCAAGGATCTTTTGCTTATATCGGAAGGTGACTCACATTTCGTTATTTCAAATAGGATAGCCTATATAGTTTTTTAATCTATGCAAAATTTGAAGTAAACGTGGTATTACTCGTACGACCATAAGACAACAGTTTTTGAATTATTTTGATTTCTTCGACATTCTTGGAAAGAACCTATACTCCTGGTCCTATGAGGCAAGAGAAACTAGTTATTATCAGAGTGTACTTAAAAAAGCATAGGTTTTATCAGATGTGTAAATTACACAGTGTAGAAAAGGCAAAAAATTTTTTAAATTTCGAGTGTAAAAATATTCTATAAACCCATTTTTTAAAGTATCGTTTTCACTTCATGGACATAGAGGATGGGTATAGGTACACGCTTGTTGTTTTTAATTCGTGATTTTAATTTGTTTAAAGGCGTATTTATGCTCACTGATATAAGTAATAAGAATAAGTAATAAATAATAAGTAGGTAATAAGAATTAAGTAATAGTATCTTTTTCCACCATTTATAAGTACTAGCATTGTTTAAATTAGTCTTGAGTTAAAACTTCCCAAGTTATTATTATTACTTATTACTTATTCTAATTATTTTTTACTAGTGAGCATAAATACGCCTTTATACAGCCTGATGTTTTACACAAACCATTACGTAAAAGTATTCAGACTCTCATTGATAATTTAAGTTTGAAAATTTGCATACCATAGTTGTTCATGATTTATTGAAAGAAAATATTATCCTGTTGTTTCACTTCCCGTTTTACCGGATGTGGATGGCAATTTTCTATTTTAAATAGAACACCCTTGCATCTATACATAAAAATCTACGTCCTCTGACATTTCCCTACTCTATACCCAGGTTTTTCAAAATTTTTAACGTTTGACTGCTTTTCTTTAAGGCTGACTTGATGCTACATGAGAATGCTTTAAATTTTGATCGTCCTTCTACAGGGTTTCAAAATCTATGATCCATTTTAACTTCAAACCTTAATCTTCATTTTTTCAAAAAGAACGTGTTATTTTTTTGCACTTTCGAATGTCGAAAAAAATTCTACATCGACCAGTTATTGCATTCCCGATAATTATCTGTTATTCTTTCCGTTTTATTTTAGATTTTCTAAAATTGTGACTGTTATACCGAAGCCATCGTATCTATATTACGGTGGCAAATTGTGTATAACCGTCACAACTTTAGAAAATCTACAATAAAACGGAAAGTATAACAGATAGG